GAAGTAGAAAAGGAATAAAAGGAATTTTAAAGCGAATTAAAATAGAATGGGGTCAGATTGTGTCAAAGGTAAGAATATCAGAGATTTTTGCAGACAACTGTTGCCAAACACATAGAGTCAAATTAAGTAAAAATTCTTCACTCAAGATAAAAATATCCCCAGAACTGTATCACTTGTCCTGGTGCACACAGACTAGCTGTCACAAAGCATGATGACAGACAATGTGCTGGGAAGCTGGGTATGCCCGAGTCTCCTGATCCATGGGGACTGTGTGTCAGTGACCATCTAACCTCTTGGCCCGACTTGCTGGAGGCTCTATCATGCCTTCTGGACAAGGCCTTCAGAATTCTGACACAGGGCTGGTGATCTCATCACACTATTCCTAAATCTAAGTGCCCAAGAGTTCTTTGTTAAGGTGCTAAAGAGATCAGCTTACCTAAGCAAGTCAGTGGTTATCTATTGGTTATGTTTTCAGTAACAGTTTCCTAATAAGTCCAGACGTGAAAACTGAGCTGACAACTCTAACATCTAACATCTGTGAAGTATGCTGTGCTTCTCAAAGTGTGTGTTTTCATGCAATATGCCCAAGAAGAGGACTATTCTTGGTCTTGGGTGCACAGAGTAGGGCTGCAGAAAGGAATCAAGTATCCAGTTGTCATCATTCATTGATTTTCCCTATCTAACTTCCACAAACTCACATTGCAAATCCATCTAAATGTTCATACTCATCCAGACACAGATGGCTTACACCTGTAATCCTAGCTACTCAGGAGGCTGAGATTCGCCTCAGGCAGATCCTGCCAGATCCTGCCAGCTCAGGCAGGAATGTCTATGAAATTCTTATCTCCAATTAACTAAAAGAGAAGAAAAGCCTAAAGTGGAGCTGTAGCTCAAGGGTATAGTGCCAGCCTTATATGAAAATGCTGAGACAGTGTCCAGGCCCTGAGTTCAAGCCCCAGTACCAGCACATAAATACATACATACGTACATACATACATACATACATACATACATACACACACATAAATGTTCACACTCAGATCTGAGATCCTATTATGAAAAGAAAAGAATATCTCATTCTGAAACTGTGAAACAAAGGAAGGATGACAGGAAAAAGAAATCAAAATATTAGCTGGCGACGAGTTTAAATAATTCTAATAGTTTTATATAGCAAACAAATTTTATTCAGTCAGGTATAAAATTAGAAAACTTTAAATGGGAAACAGAATGATTTGGCTGTGGTTTTAAAATACTCTGTGATTAAAGGAGTAAGGAGCTAGGAATAAATATGACTACTAAAATATGTTTGAAACAGCCCTTTAAGATAATGGCTAAATCAAGGCAACTCAAATTCTGTTTTGGTGGGGTTTTTTTTTTTGGGTCCCCTTTACTGAAAAAAATGCTCCAAGACGTTACCGTGCATTTTGGGTCCTTTCAATCATCCTTGGGGAAGACACCTGAAATATTTCTAGGCAAGTGTTCTCATCATTCAAATGCATTTAGTTTGGTATATAATATGTCAAATTGATAACCGAAAGTATTATATTTAGGATCAAATAACTTTTCAGCTTTTTTTTTTTTTTTTGGGCAGTCCTGGAACCTGAACTCAAGGCCTGGGCACAGTCCCTCAGCTTCTTTTGCACAAGGCTAGCACTCTACCACTTGAGCCACAGCACCACTTCCGGGTTTTTCTGCTTATGTGGCAAGAAGGAATCAAACCCAGGGCTTCATGTATGCTAGGAAAGCACTCTACCACTAAGTCACATTCCCAGCCCCTCTGAGCATATTTTTGCCAGTGTTGCCTCCGCTGATACCACTCTGACTATCAATAAAATTATTCCAAATGTTACAGCTCCCCATACATTAGCAGATATTCAAATACAATGCCTAAACATTAGCAAGAAATTCTTTCATTCTGAGAGAGAATGAGACTCCTAAGCTGGGAATAGGGTGAGAAAAAGGAAATTTTAATTTCCCTAATACCTGTTCAGCTATGGAAATTACAAAGGAAAGGAACAATCCAGACAATCTATTTTTTTTGGGGGGGGATCGGTCATGGGGCTTGAACTCTGGACGCTGTCCCTCAGCTCTTCAGCTCAAGGCAAATGCTCTAGTGCTTGAGCTACAGTGCCACCTCCTAGACAATCTATTTTATTCTATGTGAACATCCTCCTTTTGCTTGAACTCAGGGCCTGGGCACTGTCCTGAGCTTCTTTTGCTCTCTACCACTTGCTCTTTAGCACTCTGCCACTTGAGCCACAGTGCCATTTCCGGCCTTTTCTGTTTATTTGGTACAGAGGAATTGAATCCAGGGTTTCATGCATGCTAGGCAACCACTCTACCACTAAGCCACATTCCCAGCCCTCTAGGTCAGCATCTTTAGGAAAGTGATTATTTCACATGCTTATATTTGCCTCTCAGGCATAGTTAGCAAGAAGATTTGGCATATTTGAGGCATTTATGGCAACTAAAAGTAGCATCACCTTGGTAATTTCATAACTATGATGTAGAAGAAACACCTGTATGAAATAATCTGGAAATAGTTATTGTGAATGATACCATTAGTGCCCTTAAGATACGGAATCAATAGGCAGGGAGATATACATATAAGCTACAGCTTATTAGCAGTATAAGTCTATCCCACATCACTGTGGTGGAAATTAACTGAGCCACAGTATTGGACACAGAGCAGCCCTCAGTAGCTATGAGTTACTATTACTTCACTGTGTCCACTGTGACTTGCTTTCTGTACCTTGGGAAGCAGAGAACATGACATAGAGAAGACAGGAAAGCCCCTTCCTCCAATGCATTACACTGTAACCCACACAAGTCCATCTCTTGCAGGGGAGACAGGGGCCTAGACTAGCCATCTGGGATCTTTATATAGAACTAATTCCTATTCAAGACACACATGATTTTTCATGATCCAAAAAGCCAATCTTGGGTGTCAATTGTTATTCTCAGTGAATACAAAGGAATTCTTCGGTCTAAAATACAGATTTAAAGAGGAAACCCCATTGACACCACAAAGAGCAGATGAATTAGAACTCAAAGAGCAGATTCGTGACATCTGAGTGAATAAGGAAGCCAATTCCAAGACTATGAAGGAAGAGACAGGATAGCCAAGCAGCCAGCAGTAAAACCAACCAGGGTGACATCAGGAAGGAGGGAGTTTTAGACTTCCTTCTCATTTGAGCTACACACTTACTTAGCCCAGCCAGAAGAATTCCATGGGAACAAAGTACCTTCTTCCTCCGATAGTTTGTGGCTCTAAAGAGTGCCATAACTGAGCATATAATGATGTCTAAATGAGGAAAAAACATAATGGATTTCAAATACAAACATGGAATATAATGCCAATGTAAATAATTCACATTCTCCCTGAGATTATTAGGAATAAGTTTCAGAAAGCTTTCTTAGTAAAGAAAGATCTTAAATATAACAGTTGACATACACAAAAGATAAGTAGTATTCTCAGTGAGTGTACTACGATCTGTTTTGAGCCTCCAGATGTCCTGGGCCAAGGGGCAAAGAGTAGAGGAGAAAGAATATGTAGCTGTATGAACAGGACAAATACTAGATTTCTAGGGGCTATGCACACTGATCTGCTAGAGCACCTATCTCTTGTAAGATGCAAAACGCTGTCCTGTCTCCATTTACATTCCCTTCCTTCCTTCCTTCCTCCCTCCCTTTTTTTTTTTGGGTCCAGTCATGGAGCCTGAACTCTGGGCCTGGGCACTGTCCCTCAGCTCTTCAGCTCAAGGCTAGCGCTCTACCACTTGAGCCACAGCGCCACTTCTGGCTTTTTTCTTTTTGCTTATGTGTGGTGCTGAGGAATTGAACCCAGGGCCTCAGGTATGCAAGGCAAGCACTCTACCACTGAGCCACCTTCCCAGCCCCCCTTCCTCCCTTCCTACAGATGGGGGAATCAAACCCAAAACCTCATAGTACTGGACAAGAACTCTACCACTGAGCCACACTCCCAGCTTCTATTTACCTTTTAAGCCATCTATACATAGTGAAATCCCTTCCTTCTATAATGGGTGCTCAATAAGTAATATTACAAAGAAAGCAAAAGACAAAGAAGAAGAACGGAAGAACAATTGAAAAAGTTAGTGTAGCTCCCCCAAGTGAGTTTTACTTGAAGTTACACTTGTTTCCAGGGAATTGAATAGAACCCAACCCTGAGGATGGCTTGGTCAATTATATAGCTGTCCTTGCAAGATGGTAGGGCTAGGGCTCTAAGACAGGGCTGAAATAAGCTGAATTTTAGAACAACTTGGACAGATAATGGAGGTATGACGATGGAAGTATTTTTTAATCACATTTATTTATTTCCATTTTCTTGCAATTCCAAACACATCATTTTAAATAACATTGTGATGATCACAAATGTTGAAGTATTCAATTTTTCTAGCCCTCTGACTTCATAACCCATATACTCCCACCATGACCTATGTTTGTAGGCTGTCTTTGGTCATGAAAATACAAAAGGTCTTGCTTAACCTGTTAACAAACACAGCAGCTGCAAATGTCCTATAATTTTTGAAAACATAATGTCATTTCACTGGAAAGAGGAGCATCTCTTAAACATTGACCAGAAAATTTTATCCATCCTTTATGTTGCTCATGTAATAAATGCTTGTTAAAAGAGTGAAAAAATAAGCATAGAATTTGTTCCAGCTATACGTCATATACTGAGTTACCTGAAGACATAACTTATGCAAAGAACATTCTAGTTAGTTCCTCTAAACTGACCATATGTTCGTAAACCGTAAGTCCAAGTTTTTATAGCTGGGTCGCAGTGACATTGTTTATGACTGTGTTACCACTCTGAAACTGAACCTGTGAATAACAGACCATTTGACTAGAGAAAGTAAGTCTCTCCACAGATGATGTCTTTAACAAGACACATGTAATACTTAAGGAAACAATTTGTATTATATAATCAAGTATTAATATAAAACACAAGCCGAAACAAGAAAACATGAATATCCTACCTGAACATCTTTGTATTTGTCTCGTAAATCCAACAGCCGGTGATAAGCTTTGATGGCTTCTGAAAATTCCCCGACATCCGTGCTGGTGAGGATGTAGTTCTCCCAGATCTGCCAGTGTTCATAGTTACACTTGAGAGCTTCTTGTAGAGTTCTGAAAGCTTTGACTCTAGCGAAGATCAAATTTTTAAAATGAACCTTTTTTTAAAATTAGAATACAACATAGCTAAGTATTTAGCATGCTAATGTGAACCATCGGTCCATCATCCTTGTCAATAAACAGAACCAGAGGCCCACATAACCCTAACTAGCTCAAACTTTCCTATAAAATCTGACAGACCCTTTAGCATACATAGCATACCTACAGAAATATTCCTTTCCTAACCTATTTACTGGTAACAGGACATTATTTTATAACTAGGGGCCAGTCTCACCATCCCCAGGAGAAGGCCCAAACCCAGAATAGCCTAGTTAGCATAAGTGCAAGCCTGCAAGACAAAAAAATAGGGACATGAAAGTAGTCAAGAGATTATGGGTAAGGTCAAAAACAAAACAAAAAGTTCTTCATACTCTAAACCAAACTACAAAACAAAATTCTACCACCTGTGGGGAAAAGCTACACTAGAAACAACAGTGTACAAAATTACCAAGCAAGACATAAATAAAACTGTAACAATCTATGCCAAGTGTGGTGGTACATTCCTATAATCCCAGCACTTGGGAGGCTTGAGGAAGGAGTATCAGGTCAGCCTGAGCTACACAGTGAGATTCTGTCTCAAAAATAAGAAAAGAAAAGAAAAGAAACTATATGGGGCTGGGAAGGTGGCTCAGTGGCAGAGCACTTGCCTTGCATTCCTGAGGCCCTGGATTCGATTCCTCAGCACCACATAAGCAAAAAGAAAAAAGCCGGAAGTGGTGCTGTGGCTCAAGTGGTAGAGCACTAGCCTTGAGCTGAAGAGCTGAGGGACAGCGCCCAGGCCCAGAGTTCAGGCCCCACGACCGGACCCAAAAAAAAAAAAAAACCTATCAAATATTTAAACAAATTTGTTTATAACGAATACTGAAAGAGACAAAAGAAATAATTTACATTTTAAAAGAGTAAGAGCTTGTGAAATAAAACCAGGTAGAAATGAAAGATCATGGAGATGTGACTAAGAACCAACTGGACATTTCAGAATTATAAGAAACATCAAAACAAAACAAAATCAACAGGCGACTAAAACTAGGCTGCAGAATGTCAAAGAAAAAACTTGTGAACTAGAAGAGAATATTGAGGAATTTCAGATTAATAAACAGAAGAACAGTGAGGAAACAGAAGAAAGAATGAGATAAGATTCAGATATACATCTGGCAGAAAAAGAGAGTACCCCACCTACTGACCAACCCTAAGTGAAAAACACATAAAAGGATCCCTTCTTAAAAAAAATAAAAGGGGAAGCAGGTGCCTGTGGCTCATCCCTGTAATCCTAATCAGGAGATCATAATCTGAGGATCCCAGTTCAAAGATAGCCTAGGCAAAACAGTTTATGAGACTTATCTTCAATTAACCACCAAAAAGCAGGAAGTGATGCTGTAACTCAAGTGGTAGAGCACAAGCTTTGAGTGAAAAATCTAAGACAGAAACAATACTCTGGCCTTGAGTTCAAACCCCAGTACAGGCACACACACATAAAAAATAGTAATGTTAATAATCTACTTCTGGTCTTGTATCCTACTTTTATACAGACATGAATGCAGCTGTAGAAAGGCAAGCAAGGGTTAACAAGAGGCCAAGGGAACACTATGCAAGAAATGTCCATACAGAATAGCTAAGATTATCAAGCTAGAAGACCAGGTAGAAGACTCTATGGTGCTTTATCTGGGTCACTAGGAAGAAGACTGAGAGCACTCTACAACTCTGCCAGGCATTTCCCCTGCCACTGCTTACAACCAAAGAAGTCTCTGATAGGAATGTCTTCTGAAGAAAATGGCAGATCAAACAGCACTTCTCGAAGACTGTCATCCAGGAATGGAGGAAGCATTTCATGACTTCAATGTATTATAGATTACAGGGTATTGCCAGAAAATTAAGTAAAAATTTTAAAATATGACCAAATAAAAGTGAACTATAAAGCCAGGCACTGGTGGCTCACGCCTGTAATCCTAGCTACTCAGGAGGCTGAGATCTGAGGACCACAGTTCAAAGCCAGCCCGGGCAGGAAAGTCCGTGAGACTCTTATCTCCAATAAATCACTAGAAAACCGGAAGTGGTGCTGTGGCTCAAGCAGGTAGAGAGCTGGCCTTGAGCTGAAGAGCCCAGGGACAGCGCCCAACCCCAGAGTTCAAGCCCCACGACGGACCAAAAAAAAAAAAGAAATGTAAACATCTTTAAAAAAATTTTTTTTATTGTAAGAACACTGTACAGAGAGGTTACAGTTACGTAAGTAAGATAACAAGTACATTTCCTATCGAGCATTATAACCCTCTTTTACTTCATTGAAACCCTGACAATAGCAACTCTTTTCTGTTCCTTTCCCTTCGCTTTTCCTCGCCAGTCACAGGCCCATTTGGCCATCCCATCGTGGTTGTCTCCTGTCTATACAGCTTGGCATCTGTCCTTTTTTTTTTTTTCCTTCCTAGAAAGTTCTCTCAAGGCTGGACTGTTACAAAAGCTGTCTGCTAACTGATTTCCCAGCTTCCAGTTTCCTCTCTAGTCTATGTCATACACTGTTACCAGATAACTCTTCCAAATAGCTTCTTTCTTCATAAAATTACCCCCACCGAAGTCTCTGGCTTCCTATTGCTTACAGGAAGGATGCTCTCAAGGCGTTAGTGAGTAGAGAAGTGCACCCCAGCTATCTTACCAGCCCCCTCTCACCACACGACTCCCGCTGCTCTATGGCTGGACTATTCTGCTTCCAACGCCTAAAAGAACTCCATTTCTACCATTCTGTGTTTGCTCACATCATTTCCCAAAAGGCTCTCCTCTGTCCTTCTACTCAACCTTCCAATGGACTCTAGGTCAACAAATCTATCCCCCCTAGCACTGGTTCTGGTTTACCTCTGAATCTTCTCTCTCCTGAGATGCTCAGAAGGGTGTGACAAATAAGTGTTCAACTATTATTACAGCCCCCTTTCTATTTGTCCTTCACATTGACCACATGTAGTCTATACTGCGAATCAATTTTTAAAACTGTGGCATATTATTCTACTTCTTCAACCTACATTTCCTAAAAAGACTACTTCCTATTTACTTATAATTTTCAATTATATCTAGTACAAAGCAATCAATTACTAGGAAGTCTATCAATTGAATTAACCAATTAGAGGTATCACTGTAATGAAATTTAGGATGCAAACCTTTAGCAGTAAATATTTTCAGCAGTAATATTTCTTATTTTATACTTATATATACATTATATTTATATAATAAAATTATATTACATATAATACATTATATAGTTATATATTATATTCACATAATTATGTAATATATAACAATATATAATTATATGCCATATAATTATATATAATATATGGCAGATAATAATATATTATATACAATTATATATTAGTTATATATTATATAATTATAATTAAATTATATATAATATATAATTATAATATTTCTTATTTTATTACATATCAAATGTTTTCAAAAATAAACTGTACTTGAAATTCAGAAGCCTCTTCTCCTCAAAGAAAGGAAAAGAAAGAGAAGATACAATGTTTCACTATTTAGAAAATAGTGAAATACAGAAAATCTCACTCATTTATCTTGGAAGTATATTTGTCTGATGCACTTACTTTTGTTTTAATCGGATATAGGAGGTTGATAAATTATTCCAAGCCTCTGCGTTCTGAAATGATAGAGAACCCAGTTAGGAAAAGAATTGCTGAAACTAATCTGATATGTGTTCTTAAAAATATGTTCTTAAAAATGACAATTTTAGTGAAGTATATTTAAAGATAAAAATAAGAAATTAAATTCAACTTACCTTTTGAAACTTATAGAAAGGTCAAAAAAGTAGTCAACCAGTGGTCTAAGTAGCATTGACTTGGAATTTAGTGAAGATTTTAATTTTATTTACTAGTTGAAAATTTTACAATATAATTTATATAGTATAGAGAGATTTGTTACAAATCTAAAGCAACAGAACACTGGTCTTCCTATACTAGAGGCTTTGCCATTTTTCCATCAGACAGGAGATTATGAATTCTCCAGTATTCTAAGTATCTTATCAACCAAACATACTTCTCTACCAATTCTTCTACCTAGTGAAAATAATAAAAGATTTAGAGCAGTGTTGTCTCCAGTAAGAACAATATGAATTACATTTTTTCTTTGTTAAACATTTTGTAAACCATGCATTGTTCTTAAACTCCATATATAGGATTTACTTCTTAAGTGGTATTAGACTTCCTCCTTTAGGCACTGACCCAGTCTTCTTGCCACAAGAAAACTACACATTGGACAATACAGAGTAAGTAACAGGCAGCACAGGTGTCCCATTCCAGAGAGAAGGGAAGAATGAAGGTGTCTCAGTACACACCTAGTCCTCTGCCTTAGAGGCACATTCAGGGCTGCAATACAGGGAGGTTAGAAAGCAAACAAAGCACAGGAAATCTTCTGGAGATGAAGGCTGAAAATACAGTTACACTTTTCAGGGCAAAATACTATGGGAGAGAGATATGCTTTGAGAACAGGCTCTAGAAATCTCAGCAAGCATCCTCTAGCCTCCTTGGTGGAATGCTCTACACGTGCAAAGTAAAACTTTCTGAGGTCCCAGAAAGAACAACCACAAAAGGGTTGTGAGTTGACTGAGAATACTGGAGGTGACACAAGTAGATTGGACAAGGTCCATAGGGAAGAGCTCTTATTGATCACACACAGCATTAGATTAAAGCCCAGAAAGGTTATACTTTAGAAAAGGAGAATTCTAAAGCAAGATAATCCACAAGTAAATTAACTGAATGCCAAAATAAAATGCAATCTTCTTTAATAAAAGAAGACAAGAAAATCCAGAAACTCAACAACATAGTATTCATCATGTGGAGGATACAATAAAAAAGAATTAAAAGCCAGGCATGGTGGCATATACCTATAATCCCAATACCTGAGAGGCAAAGCCAGAGGATTATGAGTTCAAAGCCAGTCTAGACTATACAGTGAGATCTTTTTTCATAAAAAAAATTTTTTTTAAAAAGCAGGATAATAACTGCATTCATAAAACCCTCCCCCCTCAGGAAAAGTTAATCGAAATAGAACCAAAAATAAAAGATATTGACTTTAAATCAGGATTATTCTGATTTTTGCCACTGTGTACCTAAGATTATAAGAGTAATGGCCAAAGTCTTTTTTTTTTTGATCGGTTGTGGGGCTTGAACTCTGGGCCTGGGCACTGTCCCTCAGTTCTTCAGCTCAAGGCTAACCCTCTACCTCTTAAGCGCCACTTCCAGCTTTTTCTGTGTATGTGGTGCTGAGGAATTGAACCCAGGGCCTCATGAATGTGAGGCAAGCACTCTACCACTGAACCACCTTCCCAGCCCCCAAAACCTTTTTTAAAAATTTTATTTTTATTATCTTTAAATAGTTGTACAAAGGGATTATAATTCAACACATCTTGATGGATGTCACCTCTTTTACCTCCCAACACCCCAAAAATTTCTGAAATGGTAAAATATACATGACACTTTGTTGTTGTTTATCAATATACATTTTTAAGTAAAAATTACTTTGTCGAGTTATTTTCTAAACCAAATTATAGCTACTGTAATAAAAAAAACCCTTATTTCCAAATTTATAAACTTTGTATCTTGAGTGGTATGACCTTCCACCAAATTTACTTCCCTCCACCACAGAGGAATTGTGTTCAGACTACATAACACTTAAGAAATATGGAGGAGCTTAAGTAGGAAAGTCAGCAAGGCAGACTTACATCAGGTTCCAGGGTTACACAGCGCTGAAATGCCTTTGCTGAGCCATCGTAGTCTTCCAAGGCCAAGTAAGCACAGCCTAGAGAGAACCATACCCCAAGCTGCAAAGAACAAAATCCAGGTCAGTCAAGCAGAGACATTCCCAAGACCAGCTGCAAAGGATTTGAAATACTCCACCAAACACTAGTACATGAATAAACTTTTGCCTTGCATGTAAATATAGGCAATTTATCAACAGAAATGGATTTTCTATGTGGTTTTCACTTACAACTCAGAGAGCATGTTCAATGTCATTACACATCTCTTGTTGAGAAAGTTTGTACATCATGTTAACCAAACTCCATAAGAGCAATGTTACATTTTGTTTATAAATCTGGTATTATAAATCTGCATTCACTGAATATTTTCACTGAGTATTTACTATGCAAAGAAGTACACCAAGTACAAATAACCTGGAAAACAGGCCAAAACTAGATTACTGAATACCTGTAAAGTGACTCAAAGCAAACTCCAGTCAATTAGATAGATAAACACTGAGATTTTGAAAACAGGTAAAAAATAGGAAGTAGTTATTCATTACAAAGGAATTCTTCATATTATCTCATTTCCTTAAAATTCAATAGCTTCTATCAAAAAAGAGATAATGCTGATACAAAGTGAAAACCATTAGTCAGAGCGCAGCTATGAGTTGCTTATTTTCCTTTCATACTGAAAGCCAGTGGTAGTTGGACGTCTGCTGTCTCTCTTGCTGCTGGCTTCTAGGGGGAGCCACTGAGGTGGAAAGGAAAGGCCCTAGCCTCCTCAGAGGCAGAGGTCAAGGCTGCCTCCACATTCTGAACCTTCCATCATTCCCATAAAACTTGTTCCATATGGCTGGCTGAGGCCTGAAAGCTCTCCAAGCAGATAAAACAATTTTAGGCAGTTAATTAGAGATAAGGCTTAGAAAGCAAACATCCTTGGGCAATTTACCACTTTGCCATGAACTCACAAGAAGCTATAAATAACTGCTATCAAGAGCCTTTATGGAGAACAGATTTTGTTGGCGGGACAGGTGAAGTCTGGAGGAAGTGCAGAGGGTCTGGCAGGAGGAGTGAGGAGAGGGGGACTAGGTGAAACTACAAGAGATTCACTTTTCTGAATTATGGAACTTCCAGCAACTTCAAGATGAGCTCACTACTTTCCTTTCATCTGGTTATTTATACAATCACATGAAAAGACCTTCAATGGTCAAAGCACACTCCCTGAACAGGACACAGCCAGACAGGACCAAAGTCTTATGCCAACTAACAAAACAACATATAAAACAAGCCCTCTAATTTCTAGTCAGGTTGGAAATTCCAAACCTGTGACCTGTGTGATATATTCCATCCATTGTAAGGTGCATGTTTTTTTAAATCATTAATATCTTGCCAGTTATATCAGAAGCAGGGTGTGTGTGTTGATACTGGGGCTTGAGCTCAGGGTCTCACTCTTCTGCTTGGCTTTTTCACACAAGGCTGGTTATATCAGAAGCAGGGTGTGTGTGTGTGTGTGTGTGTGTGTGTGTGTGTGTGAGTGTGTGTGTGTGTGTGTGTGTGTGTGTCTCACTCTTCTGCTTGGCTTTTTCACACAAGGCTGGTTATATCAGAAGCAGGGTGTGTGTGTGTGTGTGTGTGTGTGTGTGTGTGTGTGTGTGTGTGTGTGTGTGTGTGTGTGTGTGTGTGTGTGTGTGTGTGTGTGTGTGTGTGTGTGTGTGTGTGTGTGTGTTGATACTGGGGCTTGAGCTCAGGGTCTCACTCTTCTGCTTGGCTTTTTCACACAAGGCTGGCACTCTACCACACTTTAACCACAGCTCCATTTCCAGTCCTTTTGGTGATTAGTTGGAGATAAGAGTCTCACAGACTTTTCTGCCCAGGCTGGCTTTACACTGTGCTCCTCAGATCTCAGCATCCTGAGTAGCTAGGGCACAGGCATGAGCCACCAAATGCCTGGCAAAATATCAAAATTTAAAGAACTGGAAGCATGTCTCTGACTCTCTGTCTCTCCTAGCTTTCCTCCCTTCCTCCCTCAAACACACACACACACACACACACACACACACACACACACACACACACACACACACACATGTTCTCTCTCTCTCTTTTGTGTGTACATGTGTATTTGTGCGCATGTGCGTGTGTGCTGGTACTGAGGCTAAAACTCAGAGCCTCACATTCTCATTCAGCTTTTTTTCATTCACAGCTGGTGCTCTACCACTTGAACTACACTGCCACTTCTGACTTTATGCTGGTCAACTAGACATGAGTCCCATAGCTTTGTCTACCCAGGCTGAGAACTGATACCTCAGATCTTAGCCTCGATTAGAGGCATGAGCCATCCACACAAGCTCCCAAAGACCATCTTGGCTGGGGGCTAAGCAGGCACATAGCAGCCAAAGAAAAGTGTCCTCTGGTGGAGGAAAGAGCTGGAAGGAAAAACCTCTCACCAAAGGGACTGGGCAGGAATGGAGAGAGACAATCGTCTGACAGAGAGGCTCTGGATGAGATTTCTGTACAGCTCGTTTATTTCTAGGGCACACCAGGAAGACAAGCAGCCATGGTGAGGAGTGAGATAATCTAGTATGTATCTATGAGGGAGAAACACAAAAGCAGGACAGCAGTTATTCTGAATATTAATTATAGCTGTACTTTAAGGATGGCCTAATTTTTTTAAATGATTAACAAAAAACAAATGGTGAACATAATCTCTTAGACTTTTCTTCTAAGGTATCTAGGGTAATAGAGGTGACCAACTCAAATGGTTCTGAGACCATATGACCTTGCCCATGTCATTTAACCTCAGTCTCAGCCCCCCAGGTGTTAAATGAGGGCGACTGACTAGATGAAGCTTTTGAGGTCTCCTCAGATTAAAAACCAGAGGTCACAGGGTTCAAAGGTACACTAGTGCCATCTGGTGGTGGAATATAATCTATTTGATTACAGGCCTTAGAAATCAATTAAAAAGATGTCAAAAGGAAAATGTAGAAGAAACAATTTGTTGAAAGCCACACAGTTGGTTACTGGTTCTGGTGTATGATATGTGCAAAGAAAAAATTAAATAGTCTGAAGTCCAGCAAGTGCCACGAGATAAGGAACAGATTATTTTTACAAGAGAAGTTAACAGTAAGGCTTGTTTAAAAATTGTCTGCAGTAGGTCCCTTCCTTATACATCACAACTTTCCTTTTAAATTACAAGCCTACTACTCAGCTTCTGTCCCCACAAGTTTTCTGCAGGATGAATGATTAGTGGCTAAATTCCTTACAGGATCCGCTGTTGGACCTCTTCTGTCATATATAACAAAGGTTAGCATATTACAATGCAAACCTAAAGCCACGCCCCCTCCCTCTCTCCTTTATCATGCCTCATTCCCCTAACCCAAATGCACAAGAGATGTTAAACGGGTTTCATCAAACGGGAAATGGTCCAAGCCAAAAATAATGCTGTTTATAGTAGCTTTTCCTAAAGTGAAGACATCATTTGTGTGTGTGATGACTTATCGTGTGTGTGTGTGTGTGTGTGTGTGTGTGTGTGTGTGTGTGTGTGTGTGTGTGTGTGTGTGTGTGTGTGTGTGTGTGTGTGTGTGTGTGTGTGTGTGTGTGTGTGTGTGTGTGTGTGTGTGTGTGTGTGTGTGTGTGTGTGTGTGTCCTGGGGCTTGAAGTCAGGGCCTAGGTGCTGTCCCTGTGCTCTTTTGCTCAAAGTTAGTGCTCTACCACTTGAGCCACAGCTCCAGTTTTTTGGTGGTTAATTGGAGGTAAGAGTATCATGGACTTTCCTGTTCCAGCTGGCTTTAAACAGCAATCCTCAGTTCTCAGCCTACTGCGCAGCTAAGATTACAAGGTATGAAAAACTGGTGCCTGGCTCACTTAATCTAAAAAAAAAAAAGGCAATGCCAACTTTCTCACGAACTTTCAAATTCTCCTCCATAAAGGAACAGCAAACTTGGCCTGTAGCTAACCAGCCTCACTAAAGGAATAATTTCTCTAACTCAGTGTTTTCCTTTAAAGGACCAACTACACCTCATGGTTAGCACTAGCTCTTATATCTACACAGTCTTTGCAGAGAAGCCTCACTGCATTGTCACTGCGTTTACGAGTCATCTGCATATGAAAATGGCCTGTTGGGAGTCTTCTACTAGGCTGCAGACACTGGAGTAGCAATGATTTCTACCACCCTCATTCTCACCCTGGTGTAATACACAGGAGAGAAAAGTAATACTATGGAACATCTATTACCCAGTCCTTACTATTTACTTGCATCTTATGAAAGTTTAGAAAGAAGCCGGGCGCTGGTGGCTCACGCCTGTAATCCTAGCTACTCAGGAGGCTGAGATCTGAGGATCATGGTTCAAAGCCAGACTGGGCAGGAAAGTCCGTGAGACTCTTATCTCCAATAAGCCACTAGAAAACCGGAAGTGGTGCTGTGGCTCAAGTGGTAGAGCGCTCGCCTTGAGCTGAAGAGCACAGGGACAGCGCCCAAGCCCAGAGTTCAAGCCCCACGACCGACAAAAAAAAAAAAAAAAGAGTTTAGAAAGATGAAGACGTTTGACTGGTTTCTATGTTCCTTGGGTTCCCAGAACTCAGAACCAGATACCCACAGCAAAGCTTTTGCAGTCTTTGTTGTTCTTTGGTCACAGCTACAGCCCAGATGTTATCACAGGACTCGGATTTGTGGGCCATTCATCAAGTTCAACCTGAGGAGTCCTTTTTTTTTTTTTTGGATGGTCATGGGGCTTGAACTCTGAGTCTGAGCACTGTCCCTGCACTCTTCAGCTCAAGGCTAGCGCTCTACCACTTTAGCTGAGCTACAGTGCCACTTTCGATTTTCTGGTGGTTTATTGGAGAGAAGAGTTTCACAGACTTTCCTGCCCGGGTTGGCTTTGAACCGAGATCCTCAGATCTCAGCCTCTTGAATAGCTAGGATTACAGGCGTGAGCCACCGACGCCCGGCCAGGAGTCCATTCTTTAAAACTTACCCATATGAAAAAGGAAGAACCAAAAGGAAAGAATCTTTTTTCTGTACATACTATTCACATATGTTTATCCTATCTTCACCACTGGAATGTGAACTCCTTCAGCCTACC